CATTAACCACCTCACTATTGAATGTGTTATGTTATACCTCCTTATACCCCTTCTCTCCGGCGCATGGCAGCACCATGTTCTCCCTCCCTTTCTCCTCTCTCCCCTCCCTTCCAGCCTCCCCTTTCTTGCCCCCTTCCCTCTACCCCTCTCCCCCTCCACCCTCCCCCTCCCCCGCTCATCCGGCTGCCACGGCAGCACCATGTAGAATGAGACTGAGTGTGCTCGATCGGTGTTTATATAGCCGCTGTGGGTTTATCATGATCATGACATCAACATCACGAAGTGTTGCCCTTCGTACTCCCTGGTTTTGTGAGCGGTTGGTCCGGACGGACAGAACGACACACACCGACAAACCGACACACCAAAGTTCTGGTTTATATAATGAAGTGATAGGTCAATAACCCCACGAACATTCATCATTTCCGAAAACTAACACGGTCTAGCGGCCGATTAGGCTTGGAATAAGCAAAACAATTACTTTGGCTGCTTACTATCAGCCCTTAGCGTAAACAACTACCATGCCTCGGATGTTGTAAGTGGTTTAGCGGTTGAACAATTTCTTAACCGGTGACGGCATAGAAACACCACTGATAATCCGCTAACACCGAGCATTTCAAGGAACTCGGGCAAATTAGCGGTCGAAAGGATGCTGACGACGACATCGCGAAGTAGAATGAAGTGTTTTCCTTTTCGCGCATTGCAAATTTAGGGGCTTCTTTTTCGGGTCAATCGCCTTTATCAGTCCTCATCAGTTGTTATCTCTTTTTGTCACCCACCAAATATGTTCCCGTCCCACCCCCTATATCATATCTTGAAACCAACTCCTGACGACCACTGGTGCCCGAGCTATGAATTTCGCGACACTTGCGTTCTAGCGCCTTTTATCAGCCCTTATCAGTTGTTATCACTTTCTGTACCCCACCAAATATGTTCCCGTCCCACCCCCTATATCATATCTTGAAACCAACTCCTGACGACCACTGGTGCCCGCGCTATGAATTTCCGGTCAGACACACACCAACAGACACCATTAGCCGTATATAGTAGGATGACATCAATTACACTGGAACGAGATAAACAAACGTCAGGACACAATAATGATATATTGGGTCGGAGCATAATATCGTAGCGCTCGCATTCGGCAAAAACGTTTAAAGCAAAACCCAAAAGCAAAGCCAAGCATAAAACTGATCAGTGATGTTCTTCTCGTCATTATTTACGACTTTGGTTCCATTTCGCAAGAAATTACCGGGTTTAGAAATCAAAAAGGGTACTGAGCCCGTTTTTAGAATCCTCATTATTCTCAATTTGTACGACGTGAATATGATTTGAAATTAAGGGTCGACTGGAGTAAGGTTCGATGATGACGATGGATTCCGAAAAACTCCTATTTTGGCAGCTTTTTTCTCTATATAGATTTTCGCCCACCCTTGAT